GCCACAGGCAAGATTTTCTCATTGTGTTGTAATCTTTGATAACAATGTACTGATTTTTGGAGGCAGAGCTTCAGTCTGGAATTGCAGTACAAATCTTGAAAGTGTTTTGTTGTATGATATTACTAAGAATGAGTGTAAGGAGTTGGCAGCCCTTCCATACCCCGTGTCTGAAATGGCCACAGTTAAGTGGGGTGATGACAGTGTGATCATGGTTGGAGGTACTGACAGTAAAGGTCAACCATTAAACAAAATTTTCTTATACAACATCAAAACCCAGAGGAGTCATATGTTGCCAGACATGAAGTATAAGAGGAGAGGATGTGTGGCTGCAGTTGTCAGAGACACTGTGATTGTCATGGGAGGCAAAAATGAAAGAGAAAAGTGCTTAAAGTCTGTAGAATGTTTTCGATTTGATCGCTATAGCTGGCAAGAACTTCCAGAAATGCACACAGCAAGAGGCTTCGCTACTGCAGTTGTATGTTAATTATGTATTGTATATATCAGCAACCTAATGGTGTTGTTGCAGTATTTTACACACTTTTGAACATGGGATATTAAAATAGTTTTATGGATACAGATGTTAGTTTTATGAATAGTTTTACCAACAATCAATATATAATTGGATTGCAAGTGAAGAATATCAAACAATTTTGATAAATATATATATATATATATATATACTGTCAATGACTGTTACCAGAGAAGTACCAGGCGGAAAACGAATTCTAATAATAAATATTAAAGCCCAGCAAAGTGCTTTTAAAAGAGCCATAAACCATTAAATTTAAAATTTTTTTAATAAAGATTAAGTAACGTTTCGTCTTAACTCAAGACATCTTCAGGCTATATTAAATTACAAGCCGTAAGAGTAATTAAGCATAAAGTAAAGCTATCATAGCAATATTAAATTACAAGAGAGTATGAGGTACCAGGGCCGCCGAGAGGGGGGGGGGGCAGGGAGGGCAAATTACTCCGCGTCCCCCGGAAAATTTATGCCCCAGTCATTTTTTTGGGTTAAATATTTCCGCGCAAAGGGCAAGATATTTGGGTTTTTTTGGGCAAAGCACCGAAATTTTGTATGAAAAATTGAGGTAAAGTCGCTGGAAATCAATTGCAACGTACTCGTCCGAAAAATGTTTGAAATAGGGGTCCCTTAAAAAAATTTGGCCCGGGCCCCCGCCAACCTCTCGGCGGCCCTGTGAGGTACACAAAACGTAAGGATAAGAGAGGGTAATGAGGGGAAGTGACGAACAAAAATGAAAACATACAAATTAGACGACAACACATACAGACAAAACATAAAAAAGAGAGAGATCAGAATAGGTAAGAGGAATTTAACTGCCTTGAACGTTGAGAGAGGGTTTCGTTTTAGAGATAAGAAAGCTTTCATGAATAAGGAGTTCTTGGTCATCTGAACAAGAGGAGAGGATTTCAAAATCGTCAATAGAAGCAGTGTGGCCTGTGGATATAAGATGTGAGAAAATGCTGGACTGGGTAGGATTTTTACATTGTTTACCAGTCATAGGAGTCATATCCAGGTGTTCCGAAACTCGGGTGTGTAGATGGCGCGTGGTTTGACCCACATACGATGCGGAATAGCATCGACACGTAAAAGAGTACACTACGCCCGACCTTAGAGCTTTGGGTATTTTGTCCTTAAAAGAGAAAATGGTGGAAAGTCCATCCCATCGGCCAGGATGCCATACAGTTTTCAATTTGATTTTTTAGTGTAAACCACAGGTGTAAATACCTGGTTCGGTGCTTCAAAGCTAGGTTAGTGTTAATCCTGTTAAAATTAAACTCGATATTATTAGAAATTAACAATATACTCGTAACTCGCAACTCGCACAGGGGCGGATTTTCTGGGGGTGCAGGGGGGTGCGCACCCCCCCCCCCCCCCCCCCCCCCCCCCCCCCCCCCCCCCCCCCCCTCCATCGGGACCTCACCTACGTCTCGCTTAATTAAAAGGGGTTTGCAGAAAAACACAGCAGGAGGCAAATTTGGGAGTGTAATTTGAGTATCAAACAGCAAAAAATATCTAGCAAATAATTAGAATAAAAGTTCATTTTGAACGATCGCTGTTGTTCGTAAAAGGCAAAGCTCATGCAAGCGCTTCTGTGAGATCTACCAGATTACATAAAAAAACCAACTGCAGATGAAGTCTTTCGTTAATCGGAATGAAATGACAAATGATATGGACGTTGTTGGTCACATCCCTAAGTTGATGGCGCGGTGGGTAGGCGTTGACTCCCTTGTAACTTGAAAAAACTATTCATTATTTCATTTATTTATTAAAAACTTTCAAATTGTTAGTTTGTTACTATACGATTTTCACGAATTTGAAACATTCTAAGGAAGCTACTGAAAAGCTAAACTGGAACTATATTTTATAACTTTATATACTTTGCAAATATACTGTGCAGACTAATTTAGCAAGTTACTAAAGTACTAGCAGGGCATTTGAGCATTTTATGTCTCATCCCAGCTCAGGAACTTAAATACCAGCTTAAATACTTGATCAGTTGATCACATGGGAGGGGTCACAAAACAGGGGTTATGCGGGCGATATACCTACAAATATACAACAGCTCAGTCAGCTCCTTCGGTAGCGAAC